ATGTTTAAAAGGGTGACTGCTAAAATACCTAATCTTAGGAGAATTATTCTTTTTTTTTTTCTCATTTTAGTATGGTTTAGAGTATGTTTTGGGCTTTTTTCACCATCTTTGAGCTTCCTCCTTCTAAAGAATTATTTTTACCAGTGCCTTATCACATGGTGTTCTTCTACCCAGAATTCTTTATATGCTTGTTATGTATTTTTCTTGTGTTACACTTTTAAGCAGTTTGATGCAGCAGTTCACGAACGTGCTTTGCAAATGAGGATATGTAAATATTGTGGATGTTCCCCTCCAGAAACTATGGCTTGTAACACGTAACTACGTTGGCCAGCTGCTTTGCCCCCTTCTAATCAATGTTCATGTACGATCCTTTATTAAACTATGAGTGATTAAAGTCCTGGACCGTGTGCATACACATATGACCGTACGTTGCTTTTAAGAATAACGGATCACCCAGTAACGTGGTCTAAGTAAAAACTGTTCTCTTTTTTAATTATGTAGTCCTCCTCGCCATCCTCATCCCAGCCTCATTGTAGCCACTGCAGAACGAAGGCCTCATCATTGTGTCACCATGCATCCATGTCCTGGGTCAAACGTAACCAAACGAGCCCTGCAAAGGCTCCCAGTCTCCGTCTTCGTCGCTGGCAACCCTTCTTACGCCTGCCACCTTTGGGTCTCCATTCTGTTGTAAGTGTAGTCAATCTTCCATCTCTTCTGGCAGTGACAAGGCAGTCCATTTCCCCCCTTAAACTTCTTCAGTCTTCAAAGTGCTTAGTTCTTGGTTCACTCAGTTACTAGCTTTTTCTCCCCAAGAAGAGCGCAAGCATGCCTCTGTGCTTTCACATTCTGGCTTGCCATTCACCAACGCCTTCAGCATCCATCTTTCCACACCATATCCTGCCAGCATAAAGACCCCTGCCTTAAAGGAACATCACGATTCATGGTAATGATAATGTGTACATTTCTGTCAGTTCTTAAAGTGAATATGTAAGACTGAAACTCCTGCGCTTCATCTTCTGATTTTATTTCGTTGATTTGATTCAACAAATGCTGTGTTCCTTCTGAGTTCTTTGCCATCCTTTTAATTTTTTTCCTCTTTCGTCTCTTGCCATGCTCTGGGGTCACTTTATCCTCAATCTAAGTCCTTCGTGGTGTAGGATGTTTCATCTAAGCTATTTTACTCTCCCAGGTGGCTCAGGTACTTGGTTTAATCTCTATCTGATCTTCCCTGCCTATTTAGTTTCTAAAGATCTTTTCGCAGTAGTAAGTGAAGATTTTCTCCTTTTTAATTGCTAAAAGCTTCCTACAAGTTGCATGGTTCCTCTTTCTTAAGAGTAGTCATTTTGGCAAACTGTTTGAAGGTACTCTGTTTTTATAATCTTGTTAATTATCTTACATGTTGGGGCCAGTGATGGAATTCTAGTAATTCTTACTAATTGGAATATATTGTGGAATTAAGCAAGCACAACTCTTATTCTGATGCTTGGAATGTTAAAGACAGTGACCGGGGATTGGCAGAGTCGGTGTAGGTCGCTGTGTCATCTGGTGTGTGCCATACACTTCTGAGAAACTTGGCATTTCTAGAAATGGTCATGGGTGTCAAAGTCAGAAAGATTAAACATACATTTAATGCTTTTTCAAAAATTAAAGGTCTGTATCAAACATTCTTTCCTACCCCTTATTTGCCTTTCTAAAGCTATGCTCAAACTATGAAGTGGGATCTTGGCACACTTCCCTTTTTCTTTTACCAGGTATCACTGTGCTTATCAGAGCCTTCCATTTGTATTGGGGACCCACAGAATAGTACCTCTTTATCTTTTCTTTCAGTTATTTCTAGATCACAGCTTTTACTTGCCATTTTTATTAACTTATCCATTTGATATTTATTACTTTGCTACTTAGAAACTGGCACAGTGAAATTGTACATTTTTTTGTATCACAATGGAAATGGTATGTAGGTAAATTAATGATCTTATTTTTATATGATGTACATCTTTGATGCATACTGGTTCTTTTGCTTTTTAGCTTCTTAAATAATCTAGCATAGTGGTTAAGAACTTGGATTCAGTAACCACACTGCTTGGTTTGAATCCTGATTCCATCACTTACTAGCCTTGTGACCGAGAGCATGTGACTTCCTTTCTCTGTCCCTTAGTTTTCAGCCGCATTATATACCTGCTAGTACTTACACATTAAGGATCAGTTGTTCAGTATACATAAAGCCATTCATGTTTTCTTTCTTTCTTTTTTTTTTGTGACACTATACACAATTAAGCATTACACACCTTTCATGATGTCTGCATGGACCATTAAGTGACATTGGTTACGGCCTTCACTTTTATACTACCTTTTTTGACAGCCTTTCCCCCAAATTATTTCATCATCATTAACATGCAATTATAAATTACATTTAAGCTGTTTTGCTTTACATGTATAATTTCTACTTCTCTGTAATTCTGTTATTTTCATATCACTTTCATCCTTTGGAATAATGAAAAAGATATTGTAAATTGGGAGATTTTGTAAAAATTTCTAAAAATGTAGGCAAATGATCTAACCTATGGATAGGTTTTCTGCCCTTTATACGGTTATTTGTTGGCCAAAAGCGCTTAATTAGAATTTACCTTATGTCTCTTATTTTTTAGTGAAATATTTTCTTTTAAAACACTTGTATTGTCACAGATTTTAGACACAATAATTGAAATTGATCAAGGAAAATGTCTCAAAACAGGTTTTGTAGAAATCTGAGAGATTGGAAGCTTTATTAAGTTCTTATAATACTTTGAAAGCTTTTCATTTTCTTTGGAATTTTATATGCACTTTGAATAAAATACACTAGGAGTTCCAGGTTTTTATTCATTAGATGTAACCGTATCTAGTGTAAATATTACATATAGTAGCATAATTGTGGTAATGCAGAATGTTTATAAAGCACTTTGCAGTCTGTAAAGGACTTTGCTACATCTCATCTGAACAGATAAGAGGCCTGTGGCTCACCAGAATTGGGTGACATAGTCAGGTTTTCTGATTCAGATTATACAAATTTTACCTCTAGCACAGTCTTTACTAGAAAATATGACAAGTAGAAACGGTAAGATATATAATTCTTAGGAAGATATGAAGTTAAAGAAATTGATAATTTATTTTGAAGACACAACAGCTCCTAAGATTTAAAATGTTTCTCATCCTGGTGGAGAATTTTCTTAAATTGAGAAAAACAAGACCCTTTTCTATTTGGACAAGGAATTTTTTTTCTAGCATTTTTGTTACAGAATTAAATTTACAGTTTATACAGTTGCCCAGATCTGGCTTTGAAAAATCAGATTCTCTTCAGAGTGATCTCTGACCAGGAGACTGACTGACCACTGTTAGGTGTGAGCGAGCTGGCTCAGAATCACAGTTTTTGATGTACAGTGTGTTGGAACCAACTCGCAGCTGACCCTCTAGTGGGATTCACAGGCAGTAAGTTGCACAGAATGAGACTGCCCATCTTTCTCCTGTGAAGCAGCTGGTGGATTTGAAGCACTTGCCTTGGGTTGGCAGCACGGCTCCTCACCACGGAGCCACCAGAGTTCTGGCTTGTATTGTATAAATACTGCTTGGTCCTGTTTCCTCCTCCAAAATGCTGCTACCCTTGAGCCTCAGTTAACATCGATCCCTATGTGCTTTGGAATTCTTTAGTTTGTGGTGACGAGAACTTGTTTGCTCAGCTGATTTATGCTGAAGTAGGGTCTCCCTTCCCATTCATAACTTGAGGGGACACCGTTGCTAAAAGATTATGTGAGATTGCATAAATTACTTTACCTAAAAATACTTTAGAAGCAGCATTCTATAAAACCAAGGTAGTCAGTCACATCTATACCTTTCAATTTCTACATTAGAAAACTGCTTATTATAAGAGCTTAAATAACTACTTGTGGGTAATTGAAGTATTGCTTATATAGAGTTATGTGGCTTAAAGATTGCTAAATAACATAACCTATAACTTACTTTCTACCTGCTTTTAGAACTTTTACCAAAAAAGTTTAGGAGGTATAGTCCACAGGGAGTTGTGCCCCTGACCCAAGGCTGGCTCCCCTCGGGAGGGGCGAAAGGCCTCCTGCCATAAGAGAGGGGAAAACCTCAGAAAACCTGCTGGCCAGCTCAGAGCAGTGGGTTATTGAGACTTACATTTTAAAATTATTGTTTTTCAGACTTCATTGTAGTTCACTGGATCACTGTGGATTATAGGAAATGCCAGTTTATCATATTGACTGTATTATTTGCATTTTGAAGGAATACAGCAGATACTGTTCATGCAAAGCAAACTTGATAAGAAAACCTAGATGGAATTTAAATTTGAAAGTTTTCACTTACAAATCAAAGAAAACAAGAGAACAACTATAAGCTATAGTTAATTACACTTTAGTTTGTTTTTCTCTGCCCTCCTTGTTTTAATCTTTTGGGCTGTTTACCAGCATCTATTGATTTTTTTAACTATTTGGCATCTAAAATGAATAAAAATACTTTACTCCAAAACTGCTTGTATTTCATTATTCCAAATTTTCACGGTTCAAGTTTTTAAGAGAACAACTCAATTTCTTGGTGTCTTAAAATTGATCTTCAAGAAGTTCTTATGTTTTTCAAGTTGTGTTACTTAAAAAAAATAATACAAATCAGTTGAGGCATTCATTTCATTCAGCAATTATGCATTGTTCATTAACTATGTGCAAGGTTCTGTGCTGGGTGCTGGGGTTTCCAAGGTGAACAAAACTTTTGGTCTTTAGATCAGTTGAAGAAAGATGTGCCTTTTGTCATTATTTTTCTTTTTTACGTATAAATGCATTGTCACACACATAGACATAATCATTCTTTGTTTTTACTGTATCAGTGATTAAGCCTCATATTGGATCCTTGTTCTCTTATGTCATTGGATATTACTTACATGCATTTATGTCCTTTACTAATTTGTATTTGATGATTAACACAAATGTAATATGTATTTTCCCCTCCTATTCTAGGCACCAAGTATAGATGAGAAGGTAGATCTTCATTTTATTGCATTAGTTCACGTAGATGGGCATCTCTATGAACTAGGTAAGAACATTTTCATTTATCCTGGGGTGAAAAAGAGTAAATTGAAAAGTTTCCACTTACAGTGAATGGGAATGTTGATATTTACTGTGTTTCCTTAAATTTATCAAATTAAGTGGGCAGAAGGTTTTTCCACTAGACAAAAGAAATGTATCTTTTGATGTTCAAGTACTTTATATTGTTTGCATACCACCTTTGCCTTCCAGCAAAGTACGAAAGTAAAACCTGGGCCAGGAAATGCCTGTGGATCCTTGTAGTATCTTTATAAAATTACTGAGTTGTCATCAGCAGCTGGATTAATTGATTTGATCCTTAACTAGCTTTAAAATACAGATTTCTAATTATGATACTTTTTACAGTCAGTAATGGGTAATCCCTTTAGTATCACATGTGGCTTTTTAAAAAACCTTGACAGAATTCTGTGTTTTCTGGAAACAGTTCTCTAAGGCATGTGCCAGAGTATCCATGGGTGATTATTTTTGCCTTTTGACATAAAATTACACAACTATTCAGTGACTTTGATGTTAAAGAAGCCTCCCATCACTTAGTGATTTCTCTTCTAGATCTACACATATGAGATGTGACATTCATGCTAAAGGTGATAAACCTGCTTATTTCACACTATTTTGCTTTATCAAGTTTTGACTATAAAATTGGATGGCTTATCATATAGTACATGTACTACAGGACAGTTTGTTAGCATTTTATCATTCACATTTGATACATAGATCAGACAAAAAAATCTCATTGCTCTCAAGTCCGTTTTGACTCTTAGTGACCCAGCAGGGTGCAGTAGAACTGCCTCATAGGGTCTGCAGGGCTGTAGTCTGTATGGAAGTGGACTGCTGCATGGTTCTCCTGTGGAATGACTGATGAATTAGAACTACTGGCCTTTTGGTTAGTAGCCAAATACTTAAACACTTTGTCACAAGACTCCTTGGTACACAGATAAAAGCTATGATTTGAATCAGTATATATTGGTCTTTGGTATGAAATTTTAAATTTTGCTATAGTAGTTAGAACTTCACTTAATTATTAACTTAAATGCTGATTTTCCTGATAGAAAAAAAGAAATGGAATTAAAAAAAGAAATTGAATAGAGAACACCTTGTTGTCGTTGTTATGTGCCATCCAGTTACTTGCAAGTCATAGTGACCCTACGTACAAGAGCCCTAAATCCTGCTCTATCCTGTGCTAACGTCACTGTCTCCGACACACCTACATGTAACTTTCTTGTAAATGTAAAATTGCCCATAAATTCAATTTTAGCTTGCACTCAGATCCTAACTGTTTACACATATATTACAGCATTGTGCTTATTTATGTATTTCTGATCAAATTCCTCATTGCCTACTTTTTTCCAAGATCTCTATTCTACAACCTGGATTTATGGTTTGTATTAGATGACTTTGTCCACTCTGATTTTTTTTACCCCTGTATAAACATCCTGACTTTGCTCAGCAAGTTAGTAGATCCTGTGCGAGGCAAAATTAAGAAATAAACATTTCTGTCCTAATAAACAGTAAACATGGTCTTCTTATAAACTAAAACCAGTTACCACTATTTAGTATGCAAACTGTATTATATGTAGTTAATATATATACTTATATAATATATACAGTTTATATATATATATACACACACACACTCTATATGTATCTTGAACAAGTGACTCATTTGATCAAAAGTACTTACTAATAAATCAAGATTGTATAATTGAACTCTTTACATAAATAATAAACCTCTTCCTTGCTAGCATACATGACATTCTTAAAACCAGCTGCAATCTCCCAATGTATATATTCGTTTTTTACAAAAGTTAAGTGGAAGAAAATATGGATAATTCAATATAAACAACTTTCACTATTATGTGTGCATTTTTTATCTTTTTTTAAAATTTTTATTTTATTATTTGTGTGTGTGTGTACCATCAAATCAGATCTGACTGGTACAGGAGGAGATTGTCCCTACTTCCCCAGCAGAGCATCTGGTGGAATGTGTGCATTTCTTTTGCAAGGGAATGAGGGTATGACTTGATAGAAGTATGTGCTTTATTCATGTGTTTTTAATAGTGGTCTTCAGGGTTATTTTCTCATAAAAACTCTGTATATTAATATAAAGTGAAGCCACAGAGATGGACATAGAACCCAAGTCTCTTGACTTTTGAGTCAGTATTTTTCCAGTTGCAGGTACTTAAGAGCCATCATAGAGAGAATAGAGTTGGTGAAGTGAATGGTCAGGGACAATTTAATATGCAGTATTAATTATTTGACCATTTGCAAAGTACAGTTTCAATTCGTGATAATCGCACCTTGCATAAACCTCATTGATTACTATATTGCCATTACACAAAGATAAGTACAATTTCATATGCTTATCCAAGTTATATTTTGTATACCATATAGTTAGAAATTAGGACGCTCTAGTGGTCTCTGGCGGCAGCTGTGCTGCAATCCCAAAGGCACACGGTTCAAATTCACCAGCTGCTCCACCAGAGAAGGATAGGCAGGCTCCTCCTGTGAGATTAACTGCATCTGAAAACCTACTGGAGGGTCAGCTGTGGATCAGTTCCAACTCCGTGGTACACAACAGCAATAACAGCTGGAGGGTCAGCGATGGATCGGTTTTGACTCTATGGTACACAACAACAACAACAACTCTGTTTTTTAAGACTTCGCTTCAGATGCACCATATCAAAAAGTGCTCGAGGAGATAGATACACATCATCTGAGTGTATATATTCACACACAGAAACTTTTAACCTTTTTTCCATGACTGGCTTGCATACATGCTTATTATGAATCCTTTTCTTTTTCCATACGGCCTTGCGTTGGAAAGGCTAACTAAGTAAATAAAAGAGGGGTCCTTTTCACTAAATATCCATGATAGTCACCTTTATTATCTCACTTCTGTTGTCTTATTATCTTGCAATTTTCCTTAACTTATTTAAAAGCAGAAAGATCTTCAAAGAACTCTGATTGTGCCTCTAAGTGTGGGATCCTAAAATGTAGATGAATTTTGTGATTATAGCAGAGTAATAAAATCATACTCTTAAAGTGAAAAAAGAAAGGCTTATTAAAGAAAAGGAAAGAACATTACAGAAATGTACATCTTTGAGTGTTATCCACAATAGTAGAATGATTTGAATATTTATAAGTCTTTTCTTTGAAAGTAAGAAATCCGACTTCCGTTATCTTTTCCGAATTCTGTTTTCCCCATTTTTCTTGTTTGTAAACAAACTCTTGGCTTCATAACCCAAAATCTCAGTCCCAAGCAATGTTCCCTGCCTCTACTGGTTCCACTAATTTTCAGTCTTCCTCAGGGCCGAGCAGCGCACCAGCTCTGAGCTGTGGAAATTCCTTCTTTCTCGGATTTCACCCTGCACATTCTCGTGTCCCCGGCCTCCTGGTTTCTAGTCTTTCCTCTCAGTTTATTGAAATGTGATGCTTGGCTTAGGTTCCCTTTCCCTCCGCTGGAGGCTCGTGAATGCCTCCAGGCAGAAAACTGGTGCTGTTGTGGTACCTACCTACAGTTCTGGACTGGCTGTTGACAGGTGTCTAAAAACAGCTATTTCAGATATTTTTGTCCAGTTTTCTAGTTGCACATAGTAGAAGCCTTGTCAAAACCATTAACTCCATGATGATTTGGTGCATAGGAAGCTAGGTGGAGTCGACGTTATCTAAGTAATATCTCTCGGCTTCCCATAATACACGGATTTGCATCCCTTTGTCTAATTCCCCCCCCCCATGCTCTTGATCACAAGCATACATACTTTTTCTTTCTCGTTCTCTCAGTGTAGTTACATGGTTATAATGGTTTCTATTATTATGGCCACAGTAACATTATTCTTAACTGAGCCATAATTTTTTAAATTTTCATTGTAAAATAAATTTTTTATTCTTATTCTCTTGAAAATGAGTAATTCTCTTGTTTGCATGTTGCTCGTTGTTATGCGCCGTTTGAATCAGAACCAGCTCCCAGCTGACCTCCCAGGGATTTTCAGAAGCTGTAAATTGTTCAGGAGGAGATTACGCATCTTTCTTCCACGGAGCAGCTGGTAGATTCTAACCACCTGCCTTTGCATTGGCGGTATAACTTGTTATTTTTCTTTTTACCGATTTAATAACTAAATCTTCCTGAGGCTCTTTTCCATTGGTCATAATCTCTAACGACATTGGCATGTCCCACAGTCTGTTCACTTCAGATTCTTAAACATCTCCCTCCCAGATTCCTTCTTGTGTATTCCAAACTGGGCAGGGTGTGCTGGGGGCCCGAGCACACTTATCATCTTGCGCTGTCTCTTTCTCTTCAGCTCACAGATTCCCTTTGCACACTCATCTGCTGAAGATCCTGTTTTTGGAGTCCCTATCTTCCTCATTTCTTCTTGACTTACTCATTTTTTGGTACCACCCCCACTAGTTTCGTAAAGGAGTGTTAAGTACAGGCAGAAATCTGACCATTTGTTCTGAGTTTTGAGAGCTGCAGAGACCCAGGCTCACCTGCAGGCCAGGTACTGACTAAGCCTCACAGGGTGTGATGGCCACCTGGTCACAGGGAGCTTCCTGGTCAGTGAGTGCGCATCCCCTCGGGACAAGGAAGCTCTAAGCTCTAAGCTGGGACTTCTCATGCCTGAAGTCGTCCCTTCATTTATAGAATTAAAACTATTAAATCCAAAGTATGATGTTCTGTGATCTCTGTGAGTTCTTGTAAATTACAGGACCTAAACAGAGGCTGGCTAGATTGGTTACCATGGCCACTGGCTGGGCCAAAATCTTCTTGAGCGTCAGGGACAGAAGAGGAGAGACCAGTTTCCACTTGCTCCAAGGCCACCCCCCTCCTAAAGCAAATGGCATGGCCGGATGGAATGGAGAGCAGGCTGATGGTGCCAGAGGCAGACCCAGTGGCAGACTTGTAAGCTGACACCCACTGACCTAGTGCCAGGTGACTGAGGATGAGAGGAGGTCTGTGGGGCCTCTGGGGTCTGAACTGGGTAAGGAAGGGAAGCCAAGGTTCCACACGCACAGCTGCCAGTGATTTGTTATCGACCACACAGTTTGACTGCCCCCGGGTGATAGGAAAGAAATTGTTAGACCTTGCATAGTTTGGCTCTGTAGAAAACTCTTGGTTGAACAACTATATGGACAGCATTGTGGCATTGTATTGACTTCCAGAGTTGCTGCTGAGGAGTGTAAAGTTCTAATTTCTGACACTTCTTCCATCTCGTTTCCACTCTTACTGTTCCCTCCAAACATGTAGGAGTTCATCTTAGTCTGAAGTAGTCTGGCGTTCTTTGTTGTCTTTGTCGGGGTTTGATGCTGTGTTTTCATAAAATCCGTAATTTTAGACCCTCCGTGGGACCTTTTAATATGGAAACTTCTGTCTTTCAATTTGGAAAATACTCAAGTTTTGGATTTCTTTTCTGTTTTACTTTATTCCAGACTTAACACTGTTTAGATTTTGGAGCTTCTTATCTTGTGTTTCATTTTTAAATGGTTGTACACTTTTCTGATTTTTAAGACCCACCCTTCATCTAGCGTGTGTTCTCAGATATCTTCTCTCCTTGATTCTTAGCTCTTTGTACAAAAAGCTGACAGTAGCTCTGTGTGTCTTGTGGTGTTTGTACAACTCCTCTGCCTGTGAGTTTCTCTGGAGTCTATTGGGCAAGTAATCTATAGACAAAGTCTGAGTTATCTAGTTAGTCATTACCAGCTGCTTCAAAGGCTACCATCTTCCTGTTTATCCTATACCTGGTACAGGCCCCTCTTACCAAGAGTACAGGATTACGTCAGACTCTAGCTATTACAGCCAAGTAAACTGAACTCTAACATAGGGATTACCATGCGTGGGAGACAATGCAACGGCAGCTAATAATACCATGTGATAATGTAGTGTTTTAATCATAGAGGTGTTTGAGAATTAGTGTTAATTTTCACTCATATATTTCTCTAAAAATAGCATCTATTAATGGCATCCTCCGGAAACTATGAACTTTGATAAATGTCGATAGTTGTAGAGGGGCTTCATGCCTTTTGTTCATAGAGTCGCTATCATCAACAACAACAACAATGCAAGTATATCTCTGTGTATGTGTATTGATTCAAAAAACTTGCATTATATTTGGAAACCTTATCATTAAAGAAGGATTGATAGTTTATGGAAACTTGAAAGTGCCTTTTATAAGGTAACTTTTCAAACATTGATTATAGATTACATTGTTGTTATATACAGTCAAGTTGGAACTGACTCATAGCTGGCACTTGAACCAGGGCTTCAGAGGCTATAAATTTCACAAGACGAAAGTGCCCATTTTTCTCTCTCAGAGCCACTAGTGGATTTGAACTGCATACTTTTACATTGGCAGCTCCACTCCTTACCCCTCAGTCACTAGAATTCTCTTACTGATTTGGGTATGTACTTTCACTTAACTGTCTTAGTGTTGGTGTTGTTGTTGTTGTGTGCTGTCGAATTGCCTGTGACTCCTAGAGACCCTGTGTACAACAGCCCTAAACCCTGCTGTACCCCTTGCCAATCTCACTGTCTCCGACACATCTATCTCCGTTACTCCAGTGTTGGAATCAATCCATCTCATAAAGGGCCTTCCTCTCCTGCACCGTTTCTCTACCCTCCCAATCATGATGTCCTTCTTCAAGGACTGGTCCCTCTTTGCAACATGTTCAAAGTATGTCACATTAAGCTTCAGAATTCTTGCCTTCAAGGAGCAGCCTGTATTCACCCTCTCCAAGACAAACTTGTTTTTTCTCCTAGTACTCTTCTCCAGCACCAAAGTTCAAGGGCATCAACGCTTCTTCTTTCATCCCTAGTCATTGTCCAGCTCTCTGAAACATAACAAGTAATTGCAAAGACCATTGCCTGTGTCAGGCACACCTTAGTCTCCACACTCACATTGTTGCTCCTCAGTACCTTGGAGAGGTCTCTGACAGCAGACCTTCCCAGTGCAGTTCATCTTTTGATTTCCTGCTGGTACCAAGAGTGTTGATTGTAGAGCCAAGCAAACTAAAGCTGTCAGCAATTTCCATCTCTTCACCATCTATCATGATGCTGCCAGTTGGCCCAGTGGTGAGAATCTTTGTTTTCTTGACATTAAGCTTCAATCCATATTGAAGGTTGCAGTCCTTGACCTTCTACAGCAAGCGTTTCAGGTCCTCCTCAGGGTTGTGTCGTCTGCATAACACAGAATGTTGATAAGTCTTCTTCCAATCCTGATGCCACCAGATAATCTGTTCTGCATATAGATTGAAAAGATACAGAGATACACATCCTTGACGCACACTCTTCCCAGTTTTGAACCATGCAGTGTTTCCTTGCTCTGTTCTGATGACTGCCTCATGGTCCAAGTATAAGTTTCGCATAAGGAGAATCATGTGTTAATTTATAGAATTGTGGGATTTTTCAAGTTTCCTATGGTGTTAGTGTTCAAGTTTGAGCTGGATATAATTTTGATTGATTCTATCCAGGGCTAGTTTGCTACTCTGTTCTACTCTCTGTATGGGACATAATTAGTGGTGATAATGAATGAAGTCTTGTTGTGACTGCCTTTTATTGGAATAAACATGTCCAATCTTCCTTAAGAATTTTTTAATCTAGCTTTTAAAATGAAGAAAGAGAATTTTCATGTTTCTGAGCATTAAAACTCTGATCATTCTTTTTAAAAATGATTAGTAATCTCACCTTTTAAGTAGTATCTTTTAATGTCATTAAAGCCACTGTTTATTTCTAATAGATTCTGTTTATAATGATAATTTAGACTTTAAACAACAAACAAGCATAGAAGCAATATCCTAATAACTTTCATTATTTTAAAAATATTCATAGGTAACACGTTCCAATATTTGTCTTAAGATCTGTTATTTTAAGTTGCTTGACTCATTTTATGAAGAGAAAGATGAAAGTTGGAAGTATGTTGTCCTGGACAGATAAATATTCAACTGTATGTTTTCCACAGATGGACGGAAACCGTTTCCAATTAACCATGGGAAAACTAATGATGAAACTTTGTTAGAGGTAAGGTTCTAAAACTTGCGGACCCAAGTGGTGCTGATGTCCTTATCTTTTGAGATCTTTCTGTAGATTGATTTTGTGACATTTTTTGCATATCTGTATGTTTTCGTCACTTTGGTCTCTTTAGGAAATCCAAAATGAAAAATTTAATATTTTCATTAAATAAAAACCTTTTCAGAACCCTGCGATGTTCAGCTGTCAAATTTGAAAAGGACAAGAGTAACATTTAAAAGGTTTCTTGTCATATCCCCTGGTTTAAGAGAGTATCAACTGTTGAAGTGACTCTAATTATAGTTCTTTTAAAACATGGCAAAAGATTATGTGACTTGGAATCCATAGAATGGGTATTTTTCAGGTTAAAAGTTAGAATCTTTTAAGAGAGAGCACTTCTGTATCTCATACTTTTGTACTAAACAAACAAGATCACCAAGCATTCCCTCTTGTGGTGCTGAAGTTACTTTTTATTTGGGAAAAAAATCCAAGTGTGAAATAATAAATTTTTATCAATCAGAAAAAAGTATTAAATGCTTATTATCATTTGTAAGTAAATACTAAAACATTATCCCCCTTCCCCCCCGACTACAGGATGCCATAGAAGTTTGCAAGAAGTTTATGGAACGTGACCCAGATGAATTAAGATTTAATGCAATTGCTCTTTCTGCAGCATAGCTTGTTAATAACAGGAATACCAAATACTGTATTATTTGCAACAAAAAAATTAAGTTTCTGCTGCCATACACTAACTCAAATGTTTTGATATTTTCATTAACGTGACTGATTAAACTTTATGTGAATTAAACTTTGACTTGGTCTGTGTTTTCTATTTTCTTGTTCCAAAGTTAAAACTACAGGCTTCCCATCCCTTCCTTAGGAAGCATGTCTTTTATCTGATGGCTGGGGATAATGGGGAGCGCTAGCCCTGTAGTCTGTAGAGAGCTGCACTGCTAACCGATCTAAAGGCTTATCTTTGGGAGACATGTGTCTTGTATCCATCAGAGGCCCCACAGGAGAGAGAGCAAGATTTATGGCCTCAGAGACCCAGTGGAGGGTTGCTGTGAGGCATAGATAGGTAGATGATAGATAGATGGATAGATAGATAGATAGATAGATAGATAGATAGATAGATAGATAGATAGATGACTTGATGGTAGTGAGTTTGAGGGTTTTAGGTGGGCTGGTTGTTTTGTTTTTAGAAATAACTGCCTTACAGTCTTTAATGGAAGATATCTCTCTCTAAACTGAGTGGTAGATACATGGACAATGAAATTTCCATCTGTGTGGTATGAATGTGACTTACACATGCATTAACATTTATTGAGCATCTCCTTGGAGTCAGCGGGACAGAGCTGTAGGTGCTGAAGTTGAAATAATGATGAGCTCACTTTCTTGTGAGAAGGGACAAATGACAAATCCCTAAAGTGGCAGGGACTACATGAGATTTACAGCAGCATCTGTGTTAGAGAACCACTGAGGAAATGTTTTCGATCATGTTACCAGAGAAGACTCTGTAAAGAGGTGAAATATGAACTTGAGCTCTGAATGACAGCCCCTTTTATAAAGGTGATAGGAAGAGAAGTCCCAAAGTTGGAAAAAACTTGCAGTGTTGGAAGAACAGAGTATGCTCTCCGGAGCACAGAGGGCATGGGGAAAGTGGCAAGAGAGATGGTCAGAAAGTGGCTTCGTGATGCAAGAAAAGTTATTGCAAATGTGATGGTAAGTCACTGAAAGACGTTAAGTAGGGGAGTGACCTGATTTAATGTATTCTTTTAAACGATCGCTCTTGTTTACTCAAGGATTCTATAGTCAGGATTGGGAGAGAGGAGGCTCAAAGAAAGATCTGTGAGGAGTCAGCTGCAGTAGTTGGAAACACGGTGATGATTGGGTCTTAAAGTGGTAGTAATTTGCATGAGAATATTTGAGGTATAATCTTAAGAAGAAAGAAAAAAGGTTTCATATTAAAGGACAAGTGGAAGGCAGTGGAAAGTTGAACATTTGTAGAATTGAGTTCAAGCTCAGAGTTGGTGTGATGGCAATGTTCTGTAGCCTTTGGGGTGATCGTTGCATGAGTACATTTGTCAAACTCACTGAATTGTATATTTAAGGTCTATACTTCTCTGTATGTACCATTTACCTCCCAAAAAGGGGCAGGTTGGAGAGTGTATAGAAATTAGGAGAAAGCCCAGATTGGCTCTGGCTGAACTGCTGGGCCCATAATTATGGATGATACATAACACTGGGTTTATATAGATACTTGAGTTACCACTCAGAAGTGACTTTTTAGGAGGAGAAATAGGCCAGTGGCTAGCAGAATGAATTGTTGTTGTTAGGGTGCCATCAAGTCAAGTATGATTCGTAGTGACCCTATGCACAAAAGATCTGAACCCAGTCCTGTCCTGTACCATCCTCACATTTCCTGACACACAAGAGCCCACAGCAGCAGTCACTGTGTCAGTCCACCTGGTTGAGGGTCTTCCTCTCCTTTGCCGACCCTCCACCCTTCCCAACATCATGTCCCTCTTCAAGGAATAGCACCTCCTAGCAATAAGTCCAAATTATATGAGGAGAAGCCTCATTATTCTTGCCTCCAAAGAGTACTCAGCACCCCCTCCAAGATACCTGTTCATTCTCTTAGCCATCCATGGGATGTTCAGTGCTTTTTTCCAACACCACAGCTCAAAGATGTCAACTCTTCTTCTGTAATCCTTATTCTTTGTCCAGGTCTCAGATGTATAGCTAGCAATCGGAAAGACTGTGGCCTGAGTAAGATGCACCTTAGTCCTCAAACTGACATCACTCCTCAACAATTTGGAAAGGTCCCTAAATGCAGATTTTCCCAGTGCAGTGCATCTCCTTATTTCCTGACTGCTTACACCATGAGTGTTAATTGTGGATCCAAACAAGATGAAGCTGTTGACAGTTTCGACCTCCTCTCCATCATGACACTGCCTGTTGGTCCATTGGTAAGAATCTTTGTTTTCTTGATAATTGAGGCGCAATCCATACTGAAGCCTGCATTCCTTGATCTGCAACAAGTGCTTCAAATCCTCCTCACTTTCAGCAAGTAAGGTTGTGTCATCTGCATAATGCAAGTAGATAGGTCTCCCTCCAACCCTGATGCTACACTCCTTCACATAGAGTCCAGCTTCTCGGATAATTTGCTCAGCATATAGGTTGAACAGGTATGAAGACAGAATATAACACTGACATACTCCCTTCCCGATTCCAAACCATTCAGTGCTCCCCTGCTCTGTTCACAAAACAGCCTCTTGCTCTAGGTATAGGTTCCTCGGCACAATTTGACTTCAGAAGGAACCTTTCCTATTCTAAGTATGATTCATTATTTAGGAACTTGTTATAAAGACTTTCAGACACTACCCCAGACTTTCTAAATCAGAATCTGCAGTTAGCTCTTCTAGGTCAAGAGTGCCTTGCAACCTGAATGCCTCATCTCTAGCATTCTCTCAGACAGTTTTGCACTGCTAATTTTAGGCTTATTTCTCTTATGCTTAAGATTGTCATGAATGGAAGTTGGCAACAAACAAAAATAATGTGTTTTTATGTATATATGTTTATATACAAATACAGACATCAAATATACCTAGACCACAAAGCTGTTGTCCAAACAAAACAAAGGAACACCATGGTTTGAAATCAAGAAAGGTGTGTGTCAGGGCTGTTTCCTTTCTCCATATTTAAGCTGTAGGCTGAGTAAGTCATTCAAGAAGCTGGAGTATGTGAAAACAAATGTGCCATCAGAATTGGAGGAAGACTCACCAACAACCTGTGTTATGCAGATGGCATGAATTTGGTTGCTTAGAGTGAAAAGGAGTTGAGATGTTTGCCACAGGAGATAAAAGACCAAAGCCTTCAATATGGATTGTATCTCGGCATCAAAAGTCCTCACCTTTGGCCAACAGACAACATCATGCTAGATGGAGAAAATGGTGAAGTTGTCAGTGATTTTATTTGGATCCACAATCAATATCCATGGTAACATCAGTCAAGAAATCAGAAGATGTGTGGTGCTGGGAAAAATCTGTTTAATTAAGGATCTCTCCAAAGTGCTGAAGATCAAGGATGTCAGTTTAAAGACCAAGATATGACTAATCTAAGCCATGGTATTTTTAATTGCTTTCTTTGCTTCTGAAAGTTGGACAATGAATAGGGAAGACCAAAAAAGAAGCAATGCCTTTGCATTGTGGTGGTGACAAAGAGTATTAAGAATCCCATGATCTGCCAAAACAACAAACAAATACGCCTCCGAGGAAGAGCAATCGGAGGACTCCATAGAGGCAAAAATGGTGAGTGAAACTTGAACTTGCTTACTTAGGTCCATGCTGTCAGGTGGAGTTCTTAGGAAAAGACGTCGTGGGAAGAGTTAGAGGGTCAACAATAAAGAGGAAGGCCTGCAATGAGACAGTGACTGCAGTAACAGGCTTGGGGGTGGGGGAGGGGAATGGTGAGCAGAGCCCAGGACACGGCAAGGTTTTGATGGTCACAGGATTTCTATAAGGTGTCGTGTCCACAAGATCTAACAACAAACTTGAAAGAGTAAATTAGTGGGGTGAACTATCTTGAAAGGCAAATAACTGCTCTAAATTCTCCATATTGAAATCCTTGAAGTTAAAGTAAAAGCACTTAGATAACATTGGGAAGGGCCTTCAGAGCTAATAGAGAGGGTGAGAGGACCTTAATGGTAAGGACAACACTAAGATACGTGGTTAGGCTCCACAAGAGAAAGAGGGACATCTGCTTCATATGATTTACTACTTACAAAAACCCGCTGGAGGGCCGTCTGTGGGTCGGTTCCGGCTCAACAGTACACAACAAACAGCATAGAGATTAAGAGTCTGATGTTAAGTGCCGTCGAGTCGCAGGCGACTCATAGCGACGCTATGAACGAAAGTCCTCGACATTTGTATGACTGTCATTCTTTTTCCAGGTTCATAGGGTTTCCGGAGGCAAGCTATTTACAGAAGTGAATGCTACTCCTGTTTCCAAGCTTTCAGGGAGCGCCACCAAACACTGTCCACCATGGGTAACCATTATCACATTTGACTTGTCAGTGTCACAGTGTTCAGCTTCACAGCGACCACAAGTTGCCTCTGTACGGCAAGTGGACACACCAGGGTTATACGACCTAGAAGACTGAACAAAAACAATGAAAAACAGGCCTTAGGGCCGCGGATTAGAGTCACCCACCTTTGGCATGGTAGCTTAACTTTCAGTCCAATAGGCTAACTGGTCTTTCTCTATGTTAAGTGTTGTCAAATCAAATCGTAGGTGACTCATAGTGACCCTATGAACGAAAAGTCCTCGACAGTTGTGTGACTTTCCTCCTTTCTCCATGTTCGTAGGGTTTCCCGAGGCAAGCTATAAGAACTTAAAATGAAGTGTCCTGTCATCAGCAGGATTACTACTAAAACCCAAGCATGGAATAGCCTTATTTTTTAGGTAACAGTAGTCTGTTCTGCAGCAAGTGTTTCAAGTCCTCCTCACTTTGGGCAAACAGGGTTGTTCATCTTCATAGTGCAGGTTGTGGATTCTTCCTCCGATCCTGATTCCACATTCTTCAGAGTCCAACTTTCCAAATTCTTTGCTCAGATTGAATAAGTATGGAAAAAGGGTACAACCTTGATGTACACCCTTCCTGATTTTAGATCAGACAGTGTTCCTTTGCTTTGTTTAGAAAACAGCTTCTTGGTCTACGTCCAGGTTTCACAGGAGCGTAATGAAGTGTTCTGGGATTTCCATTCTTCTCAGT